GGAAGCAGCAAAGCAGGAACTAATTGGAATTTTGCATGGACATTCTCTGCCCACGCATGAGCCAAAAATTTTAATCCAGCTCTCACATACGCTTGAGTCACGCATACAGTCATACCAAAATCGCCCTGGCAACTAACCAGCTCAAAAACAAGTCGAAAACTGACAGCTGTAATTTTGCAAGGAAGTTTGTTGCCCAACTGAAGACTCGTACACCTAAATCGAGTCTCGAAATGTACTTGCACCACGCTTAAGGGACGTCAAATACAACTGTGATGAAATTGCGATTTCAGGTGCAGAGTAAGCCGTAAAGCTGAATTTTTGCAGGGATATTTTATATCCGCGTGTGATCTAAGCACAGCTTAGAAGTCAAATTCCTTGCGCACGACGTGAAATGCTCAGTTATATTTTAATCTTAATAAATAGTGAAGTGCACCAAGGAAGCCGGTACGACCATGCGTTTTGTGCAGTTTCGTCCAGCGGACGTTTGCTTACTAAAAATGCAATTGTTTTACACTTTCGTATGTAGAAAAAGAATAGATATGCTGTCTAGCTCCTAAGTTGAGGAATTCCTTACTGAAAATTTCACGTGCCGGCACGTGAGAGCTGAATCTGAAAACATGGATGGGGGACATCCTTCCAAATTTCAATCTTGTAGTTTTTCGGCTTTCGAGCTAGCGACTTTCACATCACAATTCTCACGTGGTCTTACGTAAGACCTCTGCACAATTGGGAGCTATATTTGAGTTTGTGAGATACTTTCAGCGGCAGAAAATAAAGTCCTGAAATTCAGCTTTTTAGCTTTCATGGTTCCGGAGATAATTTCCCGTCAAAACTTTCACGGGGCCGTAGGCGATATCCAAGCACACAGGAAAACTGATTTTAAATTTTCTAGGTTACACGTGGTCAAGGAGCATACTAATAAAATTTCAGCTCCTCAGCCTCTGCGGTTCCTGAGATGATTTTACCCGCCAGAACTTTTACAAGGCCGTGCGTGTTACCCGCAAGTCCGGGAAGGTTGAGTTTAAATTCTCTGGGTGGCAATTGGGCAGAGGATACACCCATAAAATTTCAGCTTCCCATCTTCTATGGTTCTTGAGATGATTTCACTCGAAAATCTTTTACGGTGCCGTACTTGTTATCCGCTGGTGCAGGAAGGTTGAATTTAAATTTGCCGCGTCACCCGTTGGTGAGGAACATTATACTAAAATTTCAGCCTAGCTTTTGTGGTTTCCGAGTTGAAAGCGCGGGACGAAATGTGGGACACACACACAAACACACACACACACACAGACAACCCCGTGACAATATGCGTTTTGT